ATGGATCCGACCACCAATCCATCTATCTTACCCTTTCTTTCCAATCAAACATTCAAATGAACGATTGTCTCTCCTGCGATTTAGAAAAAATTGATACCAATAAATTCAACTCGGATCTCAACACATTCCTTCAAACCCTTCCATCACATCCTCTCCTCCACCCTCAAGACATTGACAACTTTGTTGAAAAACTCACCATCTCGCTTCAAAATTCTATTGATATCCAAAAAAAAATAATTAAAAATAATTCTCAAAAAATCAAACCCTGGTGGAATTCTAAAATTCTTGCTCCCCTAGCCGGAAAAAGAAATAGAGCAAGAAAATGGATGCTCCTTTCGAAATCAACCAAATCTTGTGATTGCTTCAACCATTGGCAATCAATCTTCAAGGAAAAAGTCTTAGAATTAAAAAGAAACCATTGGCGAAAATTTCTCGCAGAATGTAATGATTTCCAATTATTTAAAGCGTACAAATTCACCAAACCAAACAGCAACGGCAGCGTCGCTCCTCTCCTTAACAATCAAAACATTCTCACATCAAACAAAGAAGAACAGGCTTCCCTCCTCTTCAAAGGAACGTCGGACGCCCCGATCAACTGCTCCCTCTCTGACATCCCTTCCATGTCCCTCAACTCTCCCTTCCCTTTCCCACCCATATCTCGTTTTGAAATTGACAACATCATCTCAAAAATCCCAAAAAAGAAAGCCCGAGGTCACGATGACATCGCAAACAAGCTCATTATCTGGGGTAAGGATCTCCTCATCCCCTTCTTAATTCAACTTTTTTCTTCTTGCCTCAAAATCGGATATTTCCCCGCATTTTGGCGCCACGCCACCACAGCCATCATCCGAAAAGCTGATAAAGACTCATACTCTTTACCAGGCTCTTATCGCCCTATCGCACTTCTATCCTGCCTAGGAAAAATATTCGAAAGTATCCTTACAAAAAGAATCACTTTTTGGGCTGAGAACAATCAAGTCTTAGCCGAAGGTCACTTTGGAGGCAGAGCAGGCCGCTGCACAGATGACGCAAACCTTTTCCTCACTTCTTGGATCCGTCAAAAATGGCGCGAAAAGAAAATCGTTTCGGCCTTATTTCTGGACGTCAAATCAGCCTTCCCAACAGTTGTTAAAGAACGCCTTCTCCACAACCTCAAAATCAAGAACGCTCCCCACTACATTCTATCTATCATCTCTAGCTTCCTTTCCGACCGAACAACCTCGCTCAAAATGGACGACTATCTTTCCTCTCCTTTCCCACTCAAATGCGGTCTACCTCAAGGCTCCCCCCTCTCTCCTATTCTATACATCATTTACAATTCTTCGCTCCTTATCAACAATCCATTATCTTTAAATCAAGACTCCATCTCTCTAGGCTTCATAGATGATGTAACTCATCTGGTTGCCGAAAAATATCTTGAAACCTCCATCCGAAAACTTGAGATTGAAGGAAATAGATCCCTTGAATGGGGAATCAAACACAATGCTATTTTCGACAAGAAAAAGGCCAACTTTATGGTCTTTACTCACAATTCAATTGATATTCGACCTTTCAAATTCGGAGACCTCTCACTTCCCACTTCCTATTCTGTTAAATACCTCGGTATTATCTTTGATCCCAAACTCCTTTTCTCCGATCACATCAAAAAAGTCAAAAAATGTGCCGATCAAACTTCCTCGCAACTTATTTGAATTTCAAGATGCTCTTTCGGCGTTGGATTCCATCAATCCAAGAATCTGATCATTAGTGTACACCAATCTAGAGTCTTATACAGCAGTCCCATCTGGGCTACCAATAGGAAACACTCAACCATCAGGAATTTATTTGATAAAATCGACAACCAGGCCAATAGAATCATCTTGGGCCTTTTCAAAACCACTCCGTGCAAATTCCTTTCTAGAGAATCTCCCTTAATTCCTTTCTTTGAAGTCTTAAAAAGAAAAAATCACCTTTATATCATAAAAAAATCAACAGCTCCATCTTCTCATCCTATCAAACGCCTAATCGACTCAGAAATCTCAAACTCGCCTTCTACTCATCCTTCTCCCATCCACAACATCCTTGACAAACATTTAATCGATGACTATGACCTCCCTTCAATCGAGACCATCCAACCTCATATCATCAACCCTTGGGAAGACTTTTCACTCCCTATCTCCAACTTAAAAATAAAAAAAGAAGACATAAAATCAATAGTCCAATCTCAGATCGACAATTTGAAATCGAACTCTGAACATCTTATCTTCACAGATGGTTCGAACATTCCAGAAAATGGAGCCGGTTCAGCAGCCATCCTGGACAACTTTCTTCAATCCTCCTGTCGCATCAACAATTCAGAAAAAACATCCGCATTTGAAGCAGAAGTCCAAGCTATCATTATTGGCCTTGATATCTTTATCAACCACCACCTATCATCTCCTTCAACGTCTGTCTCCACTCCGCCAATCAATTTCTTCGTCGACAACCAAGCCACTCTTTATTCCATTTCCCATCCTCCACTTCCTATTTCCTATCAATCTAACTTCATCAACATTTTCAATAAGTTCAAGATAATAATCAACTTGTGCCATATCCCTATCCATCTCCACTGGTGCCCAGCTCATGTCGGCATCCTCGAGAATGAAAAAGTAGATGAACTTGCCAAAGCAGCTACTCTGAATACGCATCCAACACATCTCATAAACCAACCACGCTTGCTATCAAACATTCAACAAGTTGCCCGAGCCAATTTCAAATTCAACAAAAATAAGATGTCAATCACCCGCAACAATGCTCGGCTCTCCACAACTCCACTCAAAATATTCAAAAGCATCGACTCTCTTGAAAGAAGCGCAGGATCCATCATCTATCAACTCCGCTCCGGTCATTGCGCACTCAACAAATACCTTTTCTCCATCAAAAAGCTCGAGTCCCCCAATTGCGACTTCTGCAATTCGCCAGAAGATGTTAAACACTTCTTAGTTTATTGTTCAAAGTTCGATCGTCAAAGAAAAACATTTAGAAATTCTCTCACATCAGAAAAAATCAAGATTGACGTCAATTCAATCAAAGGCTTACTCGACACACCTAAATGCTTCAACCTCCTCTCAAAGTTCATCATAGATACTCATAGATTCAATCATCTCAAACATTATCTGGAAAAAGAAGAAAATTTAAAAAAAAAAAATCCAGTTATCATTTTCTTTGGTAAAAAGTCATCAATTTCTTTGGTCTAAAAGTTATCAGTTTCAGTCATCACTTTCTCTTACATTCTTCATCCAACAATATAATCATCAATAAAACGATCGGAACCATTTCGTTATCTTCTTTTTCATTTCTCTTTCTTTTATCTTTTTCCTCTTCTCTTTTATTTATCAAATCTCGACAGTCTTCATCACTCAGTTTCATTTAATTTAGAAGATTAAAATACTACTAATTCTTTATTAAGTTGTATTCTCAAAATAATAGTTCAAAAACATCATCGAGTGTATTTACATAGAATGTATTACTTGAAGTGCGCAATGTCAAAACAATCAGCACTAAAAAAAAAAAAAAAAAAAAAAAAAAAAAAAAACAGGACTACATATACTCCATTCAGTCAGATCATAATAAATCTGATCCCCTATGCTCAGCAAGTACATAAATATATGTAGGTAGACTACAATACAAGACAGGGTGAGCATGAGTGGACTGGACATCCTGGCTGTGTTCCACACCAACAGTGTGGGGAAGAAGAGCATCTCCAGTAGACCCATCCCCCCCTTCTTGGTGTTGTTGTTGGTATCAAATTCTTGCTTTTTGTCCATTAACGATAACATCCAGGGGGTCACAAAAAAAACCCCTTGGGAACTGCTGATACAGAAAATATTGCCATTGGGCTGCAAAGCATTGTTTGTAATAAAGAATCAAAAAGGCAATCACTTTTTTGATAACATTCACAAAAAATGGAAGAAGAAGAAAAAAAAATTGGGTTGATGTGTGTTATGCCAAAGAAAAAAAAGCCAAAATATCACATCTGTCCACTGTTGATGCTAGAAACAACACAAGCCTATAGCTGCTTTGGAAGAGACCCATTATACACCATCCTCCTTTTCTTTCATCATAACACCCGGAAATACATACAACAACAGCTTTAACAACCAACTACTCTTGAAGCAATGCCTCTTCTGGAATGGTGCATGCCAGACTATCCACCTCCTGTTTTTTTCTAGTCCATCCACTGTGGGACTATGACCAGTTTACGGTCTAGCAGAGACTGCACAACAGCCCCACACATATCTTCCCCTAGTTTTTGACTGATGGTATTCTTATGTATTCAACCCTATTTTGCCCTTTTTCTTCTGCTTCATCTCTCTCAACCTGATGATCATTGGGGGAATAAGATCCACTGACGATCATCTTAGCGGTCTGAGTCTAAGAGTAGAGCACTTTCAATCCCCTGCACCTGTTCCCAAATCTTCCTTCCTCTCCCCACCATGCATGGCCCCAGGCTGCTTTCCCCCAGCTTGCACCAACACCACACGGCTCTTCTCAGATACCAAATAGTTTGGATACACATTTGATCCTGTTTCTCTCTCCCCACCACAATGGTTGGGAGGTCTAGCAATAGGGTATCAATGTCCACACAGTTATATATCATGCAGACATGACAGCACGGGGAACTGGGTGGCCTTTTCTTTCCCTGAAAGAGACCCTGTCTACTCTGTTGCACATGTTGCTTGTACACTGGCAACTGATGGGTCATCCAGGGTCCTCATCCATTCCTGATGGACCTTGCTACCTTGCTCAACATTCCTGGAAGTCAATCAAGTCCAAATTTGGGACCAAATGTCTCAAAACTGGGACCAAATGTCTCAAACCTGGCCACCTGGGACCAATTGTCTCAGACCTGGCAAAAAGTCTGACTGAGACTAGTAATAGAAATTATTTTCACTAAAAACTGTTGTTTTCAATGCTTTTCATTATTATTGTAAAAAACTGTTGTTTTCAATGCTTTTCATGATTATTGTAAAAATGATTAAAATATTCAATTAGTCAGTTTAGTTCTGAAGCTGGGACTTTGATCAAAAGCATTTTATTCATACAAAAAAAAACATGGGATTTGATTTTGAACAGTGTAAATGTGACTGGTCTCTAAACTAAGATTAATGGTGTGAGATGAGCATCAAATGATTGAATAATCTTGGACAATGATCTTGATAAAAGCTTGTCAAAGCAAAAGCAGCCGTAGATTTAAGACTCTCGTTAGTTTTCCAACCTCCAGAAAAATGATGGATCAATTGTATTTGAACCGGTCCAAAGAGCTGTACACCTTCATTCTCAGCCTCCTCCCAAGGTGCAATGATCCCGTTAGCTTTGGTCAGACCCATGATAGGCAGACTCTTGGTTGATTTTGGGTCCAGAATCATCTCACATAGCCATTCCAAAAGCTTCTTTAATAATGCTTGATCTACTTCTGATTTGGGTTCAAATGACTCTAGAACGATCAAATGAAGCTTATACATTAATTTGGTAAGTCTTGTGAAAATTTTCATGATATGACTGCTGTCTGCTCTGAGGGATCCCTTGTCCAGGACTTGAATATATGCAACAGTCTTGTTCTTCTCAAAGAAGTATGCTGCTAATGGTAATGAGGGATGGAAGCTCTTGCCAATGTTAAATTTGATGTTCTTGTTTCTTGTTTCACTCTCAAACAATTTGCAAAATGATTCAATCAGTTTATGACTGGGGTCAGCATAACAAAACTTGTAAGAACATAGATCTCTTTTTAAATCTCCGGGAATCATATTCAGTATTGAGCCCAAGCCTTTCTCAAACTTCACTTTCCTAGTCCTTTCTTGAGGTTCTTGATGTGTGATCTTTGAGGGAGAAAGGGTGATTAAATATTCTTCTAAACATTGAGATAAATGGATGAAGTCCCAAGAACCAGCAGGATTTCACTCCAAGCATCAGAATCACAAAAATTTTCAATTGCTGAGATTGACATAAGTATTTACGTACCTTCGTGTTGCCCTTGGTAAGTCTCTAGTAGGTAGACGGCCAAGTTGGCTGTTACTTCATGCTCTCCATCTCCGGAAAAATAATTTATGAGTTGTATCTGCGTTTTTCCGAGTCTCTCATATGGTTGATCTCCTTGCCAATCAGGGTAAGGCTTTTGAATGACACCTATGACCGGAATAAGGGGATCACGAGGCTCAAAGATTTGATTGAGTAGCCATTTCAGCAGTTTGGCATGTTGCACTCGCTGGGCGGATACAGTCATACCAGACTTGCTTAGAAGTGTCTGATGCAATTGGTAGGTGTATGTGATCAGCTTCTTGAAGAGTAGTTTCCACCCTGGGATCGATTGTGCAAGACTATTATTCTTTTTCAATAGAACTTTTAACAACCGGCCTGGCATGCCCTGCTTACGATTAATCATTGCAAACGGTAAATTTGAGTGGACATGTCCCATCTTCGCATGCGAGAAGCAAAGCAGTTCTGGTGAAACGAGCCTTGTCTCGAAATCTAATTGACATTCCCTAACGACTGCAACTGTACTTTTAGCACTTTTCAAGTATTGGAAATCGTCCAGATATGATGCTTTGGGCCGAACGAGATCCAAACGTGCTTTCTTGCTCCTCGGCTCGGTCACTGCCAACCCCTCGATGTTATCCACTGGCTGAATCAAATCGCTTCTGCCGAGGGATCCAACGTCTGGCAAGTCAAGGAATGATCAATCCAGTGCAGTAGATATATTAGCTAGACTTGACTCGTTTCAACCGACGATGTTCAGTTGTGCTCACTGTTTCCATGATCAGTATTGCCACTCAATTTGAATTCGCTCCCCTCCATGTTCACATCATTATAAGCGGTAAACGAGGGCTTGGTTTCCGGGGCGTCGTGGTTGGACACTGCTTGAGGTATGAGACCTGTGTTGGTCCGATTTACCAGAGTAGCTTACTGGTGAGTCTTTTAATTGAGTGAAGTGACAAATACTTTTCAGATCGCACTCACCTAAAGTGGCGTGAAGCTGATTATTTGGTTGCAAAACTGTAGGGGTCAAAGGTTCTTCTTTAACCAATTTGCGTTTTCCTGCACCAATCAAATCCTGCTGAGTCCTACTTGGAGCCAGGAAAGGCGAGGTCGACCCGGACAAGCTGTTATCACGAGCTGCAACCTGTTCTTCCACTATGTTTCCCTCCGTGATCGGCGGATAATTCAAGTCGAAGCTCAATGGACCTGTTGCCAAAATTCTTGCAACCCAACACAGCATAAGATCAAGAAGGAAACAACGGGAATATACCGCAAGATCAAAATGCATGCTTCTTCGATGTGGGCTGAGGTGGGTTAGTTGGTATCCTTCAATGGAAATCAATGGATTTATCAGTCCTGGCAAGCATTGAAAAAAAAGTTTTTTCACCATCAGCGCAGCCGCATACCTCGTCAAAAACCACACAATCCATGCGTATGTGGGTACATGCTCACTCGTTGTGACCTGTTTTATAAATCTTGCCTTTGATTCTCTTTCTGAAGCTTCATGGCCAGCCGAGCTGCGGTACATCTGATAAGAAACAGCTTTCCTGACAAACATAAGTCTCACTAGCTATAATGCGGGGTGGTGGTCCGGCCGGTTGGAGCCTCAACGAATCCTCTTGGTGAGAGTCTCCTTAGGGCAGCCCCGCAGGCTTTGATCTGTCTCACAGAGAGCCTTTGAACTTGACATCCTGCCTACGAGAACATCCCCAGCAGACCTCCGGCCGGGCGACATGCGGCCAAATTTAGCAGCTCGCACATGGTTTTTGAGGGTCCTGCAGACCTGCATCCATGATGTACAGCGCCAAAGTGCCCCAACACTACCGGCACACACCTGACAGTGGTGACACATCAAGAGTTTTCAAGGATGGTGGATGAGATTGGACAGTGAAAAAGGTTGAAAAACTAAAGGCCGTGGGCACCCTTATCCTTGACAAGGGTGTATTTCCGGTAACTATGTATGCAGCGCTCATTTCGGGCGGTATGTATTAATGTTAAAAAGATAAGTCTAAAAAAACACCCCGAAAACATGTTGCCGTTGCCGGTTGCGCGACCGACGCCACCCAGCCCTCCCAATGCCGCATTGGTGGTGGCGCATTGGAAATTGCGCCATCTTTTGTCCGCCCAGCAGGCGCAGATTGGCGCGCGTCAGCCCCAGCGGTGGTCGCCTGGAGTCCCCCGACGACGCGAGAGCCATCCTCCTCTGATCAAACCATTCCACCAACCAACGCCGAGGAATAGCCAACAAGATGGAGGACTTGCTAGATCTACAGTCGATTCGAAGGATCCTGATGCGACTCGAAGACACTATCACTTTTCGTACGTGTCTCTTCTCCTCCTCCTACTTTGACGACGTGTTGACTTTGTCAATATTTTCGAAATTTAAATCGGGTACCTTACACGTTGCTTTTTTCTTTTTTTTTTTTCTTGGCAATGGGATTGTTTCTCAGTCATGATCGAACGTGCACAATTCGCTCACAATCAAGTGATCTACGAAAATTCTAGTAAATTTACTGGACTCGATCAGGATTCTAATGAGCCGTCTTTTCTGGGTTGGATGTTGAGACAGACAGAAACTACACATGGCAAGTCCACTTGAAAGACCATATTTGGAAAAAAACGAGAGAGTACTCAAAAGAAGAGGAAGACAATCAAACTAACAATTTTATGTGCCTTTGGTTGGTCTATTTGATTTACAGCAAAAGTGAGAAGATACGAAGCACCAGACGAATATCCGTTTACTCCAAAGGAAGAGCTCCCTCAACCCATCTTACCCATGCTGGACTTTCCGAGAGTCTTGCATCCTAATAAGATCAACATCAACTCGAAAATCAAGGAGTTCTACATCAACAATATCGTCCCGGTTCTTACAAAAAGAGAAGGACGTTCGAACGATGACGGCCATTATGGGAGCTCAGCTACTAGAGACGTGGAGATCTTACAAGCTGTCTCTCGAAGGATCCATTACGGTTCATACCCTTACTTTCTCATCTTCAATCAGAATATTCATCAAAAGCAAAAAAAAAAAAAGAAAAAGAAAGAAAAAATGTTTATCCAACAAGAAATCGCCAAGACTTATACTTTGTTTCATTTTTTTTTTTTTTTTTACAATGCGATGGTCATAGGAAAGTTTGTCGCCGAATCGAAGTTCAGAGATCATCCACAGGATTTCATTCCCCACATCCGTTCACGCAACAGTGCAGCCTTAGAAAACTTGATCACCAAGCCGGCGGTCGAAGTAGCGCTGATCGAACGACTGAGCAAGAAAGCATTAACGTATGGCCAGGAGATTTCTGACGTCAATCATCAGCAGAATGGGGTCGGAGTCAAACACAAGATGGACGCGAAAGTGGTCGTCGAGATGTACAAGAATTGGGTGATCCCACTGACTAGACAAGTCGAAGTGAGTCTCATTTGTCTGCCAAACCGGAAGCTTAGCTATCTCCCTAACTGACTGCTCACTTCCTGTTTTCTGCACAAATCACTCCCAAAAAAAAAATAATAAGGTCGAATACTTGTTATGCAGGCTCGATGGGCTTTCTAAGGAGGAGCTAGCCCGGCTTGATTCCCAGTAACATCACGCCGACGCATTCCATTCCAAACATTAATAACAAAAATGAAAACATAAAAGACACTTTCCTTTTCCTCCGGAGAAATCTGGTCCATCCATCATCAAGTCAAGTGCTCGTTTTAGTCCATCGGTCCATTAATACTCGCCCTCAAGATGTGTGCATGGGTTTTTCGGACTTCCTGTTTTCCCTTCCAGTAGATAATGTGCATAACCTCGCTTATAGAATTCTATAGAAATTTGCAATCCAATCTGTCATTATAGAATTAGATTTCTACATGTTTACATAGATATCATCTTTCTCATCATAGAGCGCTTCAAAGTCATCACAATTTCACAATTTCCTTTTTTGTTATATCCTTTTTTTCAGTCCCATTGCCATAGAAAATCAAAATCAGAGAAACAACTCCAATCACATACCAGGCGTTTTTGGAGACCCAGGACACTATTTTCCTTGTGCATAAACAACTCAGGCAAAATCGTTTTTTTTTTTGATACCACGCATTTAGGTATAAACTATTTTTACAAAACAAACTGGGCTTGATACAAACTTCTAAAGCATGTTGAGAAACTGAAAGAGTTGATACTGATTTGGTTGGCACTAGCAACATCGCTAAAGGTGTTTGAGATGTATGTATCAACACCAAAAGAAGTAGATTCGTTAAACAGCACGATTTTTCCTCGAGAAACTACGTCCAACCTTTCCTTTTCAATGGAAAAAAACCTCAGAATATTGTGTCTGAGTCGGGCTGAAGGGCTTTGTAGCTATCGCTGCGTCCAATTTATACATGATATTATAACATTTTGATCTCACTTGACTCTCGTTTACTTGGATAGCTCGGAGATTGGCACAGATATGCACACATGACAGTCCTCGCAAAAGAAGAGGCTCCATACTATTGGCAAACTCGACATCCAGAGGGATGCAGACGTCTAATCATAAGGGACGTAGATAAAGCCGGGTTGATGGAAGTAAAGCTATCGGATGTAAACAGCGCAAAACAGGACTAGAATCATCAGACTTTGAACAGTTGCATAGGTCAACTTGGAGGATCTTCAGAAGTGAGCTAAGAGCAAGAGCTTGAAGACGAGAATGGCAGGCTAAAGAGGATGAGGGTCTCTCTTCAATCTTTTGTATCAACAACTAAAAAAAAAAATGCGATCTCCAAGTGTGAATCTGGTAAGCAAGAGTACATCCCTTGAGTCAGTGTCAAAATCCGCAAGCAACCTAAGGAGATATTATTGGTGAATATACGTAGGAAAGAAGGGGATTCACCTGTGGTGTCTTTTGGATTCGTGCTCGACTTGTCACTCCCGACCGAACTAGCACATACGGGTGCGGCGTCGGCGACAAAATAGTTTGGGCTCGATTTTGGTGGCGGAATTGGATTGGTCTATGGGCACAGCCGAGACGGTGGGTCCTTGGAGAACCATCACAAAAGCGAAGAGGCAGGCAATCGAGATGTGCATGGTGCCTTGCTAGTTTCTTGCTGGGTTTGGAGGGCAATTGGAAGAGCGGATAGTTGTCAGTGTCACTGAAGATGCGTCGTGGGGGGATGAAGAAAGCTGGAGGAAGTGATCCCGCTGGTCTTTTATGCTCCATCAGCCTCCAACAGAGGAACTCCAAGCAAGCTCATGGGAGTGCATGCGTGTATCTCACCGACATGTCCTCTGTTGTGGTACACGTTTAATCCCACAACTCTCCATTTGAATACCACATTGCTACGTATGATCATATTGATCTTACCTAGCCGCAGTAGTGGTGATCTTGGGCTGAGACGGAAGACAAACATGCCAATTTCAAATTCCCTGAACTTTTTCATAACTCTGTAACCATCAAACTCCACACCATTTACAATGCTGCAAGTGTTTGGATGCTACACTGTTTGTGTTCACAGGCCACCCAGAGAAGGACGAAAAGGACATCTGCTACTGGCACCATTGATTTTATAAGCAGCCAAAGCTCATAATGATGTTCAATCACAATCAATAATTGCCAGACTGCTCTAGAAGACTTTCAAGATTGATGAACAAGTGGTGCTCCAATCTAGGGGATTTGGTCATGCCTGACACAGATTATATGGTTCCTGGGTTGAATTGATGGTTGGATTAACAAGCAGTGTCCAGAGGTGTTGAATTTATCAAAGGGGATCTGGAGATTTTTTTTTTTTGAAAAAGTGGACTTGTGGGAGAAACAAGAGGGAGGATAAGCCAGGATGTTGATAAAACAAGAAACACTGTCTCAAGCCTGGTTGTGAGAGCATTGAATCTCAAGGCTCCTTTAGATCTGGCTTTCTCCTTGCTTCTTCAGTAGATTTTCAAAGGAAAAAAATAAACAAATGATCATCAGGTTGTGTCCCAAAAGCACACAGCAGACATTCAGCAAGACCTTCAAAAGAAAAGGGGTAAGAGAATTTTACAAACTATTTTTTACAAGACATATGTCTTGTAAACCAGATAGTTTGTAAAATTACATTTTTATGGGGGTAATGTATAATTTTACAAACCATCATCCAAAAATATGGGTTGCAAAAAAAAGGGTTGCAAAATATGTGCCTTAAAATTGCAACCCATGCCCCATGGAGTAGAATTTTAAGGCACATATGTTGCAACCCTTATGTCTTGCAAACAATATGATTTGCAAAAGTACATTTTTGCCTTATTTCAAGGAATTTTGCAACCATTAGTTTGCAACCCATCTATGAGTTGTGAATTATGTTTTGCAAAACTGCACAACATGGTATGTAAAATCGAATTTTACAAACCATATTTTGCAACCCTTTCAAGCAATTTTGCAACCATTAGTTTGCAGCCCATCTATGGGTTGTAAATTATGTTTTGCAAAATTGCACAACATGGTATATAAAATTGAATTTTACAAACCATATTTTGCAACCCTCAAAAAAAAAGAAAAAAAAAGAGGGAGACACTATGGAATATGGAGGTACTGAACCGCCACTTTGGCCAGAAAAAAAGAAAAAAAGAAAAAAAAAAAATCAGTCATTGCTGGGGGTGTTTAATCCCATCAATGACCGATCAAAACCGGTCATTGATGGGGGTGCTTGGGGGTGTTTACTTCCATCAATGACTGGTCAAAACCGGTCATTGATGGGGATGTTGGGGGTGTTTACTCCCATCAAGGACCAGTCATAACTGGTCCTTGATGGGAGTGTGTCCTCCCATTGACAACCAGTGTCATAAATGGTCATCAATGGGAGGAATGTGTGGCCAAATTGGCTGATGATTTTTTTTTTTTTTCATTTTTTGATGGGAGTAAACACTCCAATTAATGTCTGGTTTTGACTGGTCATTGATGGGAGTAAACACCCACATAAATGACTGGTCAAAACTGGTCATCAATGATAGACACAATCCCATCATTTTTACATTTTTTTTGGCCAAAGTGGCGGTTCAGTACCTCCATATTCCATAGTGTCTCCCTCTTTTTTTTTTTTTTTTTTTTTTTTTTTGGAGGGTTGCAAAATATGGTTTGTAAAATTCAATTTTATATACCATGTTGTGCAATTTTGCAAAACATAATTTAAAACTCCTAGATGGGCTGCAAACTAATGGTTGCAAAATTGCTTGAAAGGGTTGCAAAATATGGTTTGTAAAATTCAATTTTACATACCATGTTGTGCAGTTTTGCAAAACATAATTTACAACTCATAGATGGGTTGCAAACTAATGGTTGCAAAATTCCCTTGAAATAAGGCAAAAATGTACTTTTGCAAATCATATTGTTTGCAAGACATAAGGGTTGCAACATATGTGCCTTAAAATTCTACTCCATGGGGCATGGGTTGCAATTTTAAGGCACATATTTTGCAACCCTTTTTTTTGCAACCCATATTTTTGGATGATGGTTTGTAAAATTATACATTACCCCCATAAAAATGTAATTTTACAAACTATCTGGTTTACAAGACATATGTCTTGTAAAAAATAGTTTGTAAAATTACAGCGACCCAAAAGAAAATGCAGGAAGTTTTGGCTGATGTCACTGACCAAGGGGGCTTGGGTCAACATTCACAAACCTAAAGTGACAAGCAGAAAAAAAAATTCAAATAAAGATCTACATATAAAACTCTCCATCATTAGGACAGTTCACATTTGAATAAAATATTGTTGATGTTGGATAAAATTCCTGCTTGCTGGTTTCAAAAAACTTCAAAAATCAACAGATGTGTGGGCTGATTTTATGCATGCAAACTCAAAGTGCTCTGCTGGTTTCACATAAACATTCTGCTGAAATCTTTGAAATGTGAACCGTCCTATTAGGCCGGTTCACGTCTGAAGTTCAAGGCAACTTTTAGCACTTTTATGGTTGAAATTTTATGAATTTTGTCAAATCTCATGAATCATCAGGTTTGGAGAAATTTGAAATTTTTGACAAACTTGGAAAATTTTAATGATAAATGCTATAAAACTTGCTCCAAAGTTCAGACGTGAACTGTCCTATTGAATAATTTGACCCTCATGTAATTACACTAGTAGTACATGCCCCCATTTTTGGGGAGTTTTGGTTGATATATTCATTTGCCCGGAATGTTGTTTTACCAATGACCTTTTGGGTTTTTCTTAAGTTGCACACCTGTCTGTCTTGGTCTAACATTGGTGTCAACAAATGTGAATTGGAGGTCAACACCGGCATTAAATTGCATGACAATTTGTTTGGCTCTGTAAGCCTATTTTTTTAGTTATATGTAGATACAGTGTATGTGGGAGCCACAACACTGATCATTGGAGAGCCTCAAGACTTTCCCTCATCTGCTACAACCAACATTGCAACACATACAATACACAGCTTGTATCACAAGGAATTGTATCAACATCTTTGGCCAAAGGCCAAATTCATTGCATGGCTCCATAGGACCACATTTGTCATGAAAAAAATCACATCAAGACAGGGATGCATGGCATGATACATGGCTAATACATTGCAGATGTGGTATTGTGTTTGTTGCGGCATTGCTATCCATTCTGCACCTTCTCCTCTCTGTACGTTTTCGGGGGTGCTTTACTCCCTAGGGTGTCCCAAGCTTGGGGGCTTCAAGACACCCAGTGTATGGGTTGTGGAGAGAATTTCTCTCCCCTAGAAGCAGGAGCCGTTTCCCTTATCGGCTTCTTAATGGAGTATCTCCAGTGGAGAGAATTCATGTGAGACAGATAGAAGAGGCTTATGAGCAAGAAGGGTTTTAAAGCAGTTGCTAGACCCCAGGGTGGGTGGGAGGCTTTTAAAATTTTTTTCTGGGAAAACTTGGTTCAAGGAGGTGGGGTATGGATCAAGGGGGTGATAGTGCGTGAGTCCAAGGGCGCAACCCAAGGTCTCGTCTATTTAAGAGGTGGAGGAGTCCCGCCTCAAGGGGTGGACTCATCTTTGTCGTCTGTGCCTTGGTAGGGTCAGTCTAGAACTGAACCGCCTTGCGCCCTTGGCCATTGTCCGGGCCAGGGCGCCATGGACTCTGACTGCCTTCCTTCAGTGCGGCAATCACCAATCCATTCTGCACCTTCTCCTCTCTGTACGTTTTCGGGGGTGTTTTACTCCCTAGGGTGTCCCAAGCTTGGGGGCTTCAAGACACCCAGTGTATGGGTTGTGGAGAGAATTTCTCTCCCCTAGAAGCGGGAGCCGTTTCCCTTATTGGCTTCTTAATGGAGTATCTCCAGTGGAGAGAATTCATGTGAGACAGATAGAAGAGGCTTATGAGCAAGAAGGGTTTTAAAGCAGTTGCTAGACCCACTACTGGGATTCAAATTTCATGGAAGCCAAAGCCATAGCATGCAAAAAACCCAACACTTCCATGTCTTTCTCCTACAACCAATTCATACAAGGGTTTCACTATTATTTGCTAGGAGGATCAAGGCGTTATCTATATCTTCTTGTTCATAAGGCTTGATGTATAATTTGTACGAGTCTGATTTCCATCTCCCCAAGTTGCAGATGTGACGGACAGGTATTCCAAGCGTGTGACGCAGGGAAGCCCCCCCTACTCGGAATGAGTGACCGGTTATTCCTGGAAATGCTCTGCTGATTGTAATCTGACTTATCTTCAGCATTGCTATTTCTCTTGTGATATGGTTCCGGATACCTTCCTCGAAGAAACCAAAGAGTGAGGTATCTGAGTTGCCTGCTTCTTCTAGACGACGTAGTATGGCAGCTACGGGGCATAGTTTGTTCGGTTTTGAGGATAACTTAATGATTTGTACCTCCCCCGGTTTGGCTGTCTTTGCGCCACGTAAAGAGATTGTGGCGATTGTATTCGTCTTTGATCGTCTAAAACTAACATCGGACGTCATGATTGAGTCCGTTCTGCAAAGTTTTCCTTGTCGTTTTGAGTATGTGACTTCTTTCATACGGCACATCCCCCAAAATGTGACTAACATTAGATTGGCTATTGCCTTTTCTGCCTTGTCTCCTTTGCTGAGGAGTTCTACTAAGACTTTCAGTTGTGGTATGTGAATTGCTGTCTTCTCTTTCTTCAGGTTGAATTCAGTGTCTTTCTTTGCACATGCCTTCAGTACCAAGTTTATTTGGGCTTTCGATTCCATCAGGTAGGTGAAGCCGTGGAATAAATGCCATGCTTGTATTGCAAAGAGGTATTTCGTCAGTGTTTTTGATGTGATGGGTCCTGTCGAAGGTGCTGTGTCGGTACGTCCGGCCCATAAGCAAAATTTGAAAAGTTGTTTGGTTGTTGCTGGTAGGGAAAAATAACCTGACGTTTGTGTGATGAAGTTGAGGAACTTCTTGACACCAGCGTTGTAACTTAACACGGTTGACCAACTCCATGCGCTGATAATGTGTTTGTGCTTCCAATTCAATGGGATGTGTGTTGTTCTGGTTGAGGTGAAATGGGGTATCTTACTCAGTTCCATTGCTTTTGTTTCTTCGTGGTAAGGGAGTAGGGGCAGTAGTCATGGGTTTGGAAAGAGAAACAATGATTTGCAAGACGGACGAGATCTCTTTAAGATGAAGATACAATGAGTGTTACAGAAATTCAAGACTCAATGTGATTACAACCTGCAGCTATAATTCTACTCCAAAGACCTGAGACAGGGTTCCATTCAAGTCTAACGGGACCTCGATGTCTACTTCTTTGTAGCTCATCCTGTCACTTCTTATCCCCCTCAATAATTTGTCCGCTTTGTTTTCTGCGGATGGGACCCTTTTTGCGATGATGTCTATATCGTGGTGTATTAGGAATTGTTGTATTATCTTCCATTTGTTATTGACGGAAGTGTTGTTCGACTTCCGGTGCTTTATCACCCCTTCTGATGTCGTGTTATCTGTCCATACTATGAATGTTTTCCCCCGCGTTAGTCCTAGTTTCAGTAGCATTATCAGTCCGAGACGTATTGCAACTGTTTCTAGCCAAGCAATTCCTTTCTTGGATTGACTTATGCGTCTCCAACCCCTCTTTAGCTGGAACTGTGCCCAGGAAGAGCCTATGATAATACCTATTCCGAAACTAGTACTCGCGTCTCCTACCCAACTGATCTCTGTAGCGCCTCTTGTCCTAATCAATCGGGACCTGTCAAAGTTTTGGAGTGTCTCTCTCCAAATGTTGAGATCTTCTATCACTTTGGGCGTTACCTGTCTAGTTTGTTCTCTGAATAACCAACCACAAAGCATGGCATATAGAGAGCATAAGTAACATTTTAGTTGTGGCAATATGTATGTCACATGGTTTAACCGTCCGACGAGTATTTTGATTTCCGCGTAAGATACCATTTTCCCGTCTGTCAGGAAAACTTCAATTTGTGATATTCTTTTTTTGATCTTGTCTCTTGGTAACCTGACAGTTTTATCCACGCCGTTCCAGATAAACCCAATAAATTTCTGTTCTTCTTGGAAAGGTGAATTCTTCGTTACATTTGTTAGAACTCCTAAGTTTGACGATTTCTTCACGATGTCTTCCATGTTGGTTTCGAAATCGATGTCTTCCACAAAGAGATTGTCATCGACCCATCTGAAAACCGTTATTAGGTTGAAGTGGTGAAGCATGATTTCTTTCCATGCGTCTGCTGGCCTGCCAAAGGACCCACAACCTGCTACTCCTCCAAAAGTTATGCGAGTGTCTAGGAGTAGGTTTCCTGAGAAGTCTTGTACCATCAAGTATTGCAATTGGTTCATGGCTGTAGGAATTTGTAAATAAGCTTTTTCCCAATCAAATAGCGCTAGGTGTACCGGTTCTGGATGCTGTTTGAAAAATCTGGATACTTTATTGAAATCGTCCCAAGTTTTCGTGAAGTTGTCTTTGTTTACAAATGAATTCACTGAAGGTTGATTTCTCCTATTCTTTGGGAAGCTGAGATCGTTGATTGGTTGTACCAAGCCATCTCCATTTACGACTGCTCCCATTGGGCTGGAGCAAAAAAATGGAAAAATGGTTGAGACCTCTTTGTGTGAGAAAGGACCAAACATTCGTCCCGCTTTTATTTCATTCTCGATGTTCTTCTCAATTTTTTCTCTCGTCATCAATGCTGACAAGTAATTGTCTGGGGTCAGCCATTTTAGGTTACCAATAGTGTGATGAGGGATTCCCTGGTCAAAACCAAACTTAAACCCATCTATGACATCTTCATATTCATTTCTTATGTTTGCCTCTTCTAATGAATGTTCCCATTCGGGTATGTTCATTTCACATTTGATCTGAAGTGGCCAGTCTTGCAGGTCCGCTAGTCTGAATTTACCAAGCATAAAGAAAGGAGTGTGATTGCAATGCATGAAAGAAAAGGAGAAAAAACAGATAACATGGAATTAATGATATGTTTTAAACAATAATCCTCTTAAGATTTGTTTACTTGTTTGTGTGTTACAAGTGCGTTATACAGAGTGTTTGTGTAAGAGAGGGGATTTGTAGATGGAGAGGTATCTGCTGTTTAGACCAATGAGGGGCTGTCGGGGGTGTGACCTTAGTAGGAAAAGAATGTTACCTACCCACTGCGCTTCCAATCCCCATGGGTATCATTATTTCTTCCGCTCCAGCCTCCTCTCCCCCTGGTAAAGGATCCTCTGGGATTTGAGGATGATTGGCCTCCGTTGCGGTCGGTACTGCGGTGTGAGTTACCTTCACCTTTGTTGTCCGCGTAGCCAGTTTGCGGGTATGGGTCGCTTCTGTATGGGTTGCCGTAACCCGGTTGGCTGTTGCGTGGTTCCCCCGTTAAGGGGTCTATGTGCTCCCTGTTGCCTCCTTTTGCGTAGGGATTGTCTGTTAGGCCGAGTTCTTGGAACTTCTGAGACTGTGAGTAGCAAATCTGCCAAATGTCTGATTTGAATTTTGATATGTTGGGGACCATCTCCGTTCCGTTGTGGTCGTATACGCAATGAGAGAAGGTGTTTGTTCTTGTCATCATGTCGTATCGGAAGGCTGCCATAAATCTGTGATGTTTATGGAGATTATCGACGTGCTGCTTGTGTGTGACCATCCAGCCTGCAAACACTGAGAGGTTGTATACACCGCGTAGGAGCTCGTGGAAAGCTTTGTGATTCATGGACCAACTTGCGTATGTTTGGGTCCATTCGTTTGGATATGGAAGGCCTGAGTATCTCGGTGTCTTGTCTGATCTAGCATCGTCCGACTTGGTAAGTTATGGCTCTCTCTTTCCAATCTTTGTTGAAGATGGTAAGAGGGAGGGGAGCTTGGAGTTCTTCGATGTTTTTATCAAAGAATGGGGTAAAGCCAATGTTGGCGTGGGTTGTTACCGCTCCGGACATGAAGTGTAATCCTCCTTGGGTTATGGGGGCTGATGGTGCTTCTTTGTCTTGTTTACTCGGTAGAGGGATAGCGAGAGGTGCGACTGAGCTGCCGTCGGCGTTTGTCGCGTAAATGTCCGCGTCAATTCTAGGTAGGATCCGCTTGAAGCTCGGGAGGTTCTTGACCGCTCTCTCAATGGGTTTGATGGGCTTGTCGTGGAGCATGCTCCGAAGCATCTCAACTGATCCAGTATCGCCTCTTAATGTGGCTACTTCTATATTCTTATAGAGGATTTCGTTGTGGTTGCGCTTTATGCTGATTTGGGAGAGGGGTGGGGGTTCATTGTCCAACTGGCTGGAGTCGCCTTGGTCGTCACCGAGACCTAGGAAGTAGGGTTGTCGGCGCCACTTTTGAAAAAGTGCGCGCCGACGGGCGCCGACAAGGCCCTCTAAAGGGCGCGCCTTTGGCTGGCGCAGGGGGGGCGCGCCAAGGCGCCGTTTATTTATGAGTTTTTCTTATCAGAGAGGCATGTAGGCTAGATTTGATGAAAAATTAAGTAAAACACATCAAATGAGTGTGTTGAACGTCAAAAAAAGACATGTTTGAGCTGAACGGAGTGTGTGTGTCAAGAAGCCCAGAGGTCGCTGGGGTCCCAGTTGGTTTCGGCAGCTGGGTTTTCGGTGTCTTAAATTACAATCACATCGTTATCCGGTTGGGGTGGCGAAGGAGATCAAAATCAAAGATTGTTTCAAGGAAGGCATCTTGCCTAGAAGTCTCCACCAGGCTTAGCTTATGGGTGAAGCTTCAAAAGTGTCGAGGTCTCCCGGAGCGATGAATGCATTGTACACTTTTGTATTTTCGTACTCGGAATCAATTCTTTTCGTACTCAGAATCAATTTGTTGAGGCAATTTCTTATTTTTGGAGTTCAGCCTGCAGGTCTGCCGGCCAGGCACTTTGACAGGAGTCTTCTCCTGGCTTTCTCAGGGAGACCTGCCAGGCAGCCAGGCCGACGGACCCTCCAGGCCATCCCTGTAGAATTAGGGTTAGAGGTGCGCGCCACCCCCCCTTTTTGAAAAACTGGGCGCGCACCTGTGGCGCGCACTTTGGCGCGCCACAGGGGGTGGCGCCGACAACCCTACTAGGAAGGCTTCCTCGCCCAAGGTGTCCCTAACGTATCCTCCTCCCGTTGCAACGTGGGGGAGGGTTGGGTTGGTCTTTTTCCCCGTGTTTGCTACTGTCTGACTTGCTAAGAGGGTGGAGCGACAAGCATGAGTATCTAGGTCTTTGTGCCGTAAAGGCTGGGTATGGTTGGCTACGTTTGCCTTTTACTGCCCTAGTCTTCCTTTTTGCGGGCCCTTTTTCAGTGGGTTTGGCGATCACGTTCCCGCCTAGGGCTGTGGCCGCTGGTTCTTCTGCTCTGGCGCTGCCGTCGGCAGGTACGAGGAGTCTTTTGACAGACAAGTTGTCTGCGACCGCGTTACTTGGGGTTGCTTGGTTGCTGTTGGTAGCAGGAGACATGTCTTGGTGAGTGTCGGTGAGTTGATTGGTAGGAGATGGGGTTTGGTGAAGAAGGTTGGGTAATGTTTTGTTGTGACGCGAGGATGGGTATCAATAAAAGTTTCTGGTATTTTGATTCTCTTTTAAAATTTTTTTCTGGGAAAACTTGGTTCGAGGAGGTGGGGTATGGATCAAGGGACCCAAGGTCTTGTCTATTTAAGAGGTGGAGGAGTCCCGCCTCGAGGGGCGGACTCATCTTTGTTGTCTGTGCCTTGGTAGGGTCAGTCTAGAACTGAACCGCCTTGCGCCCTTGGCCATTGTCCGGGCCAGGGCGCCATGGACTCCGACCGCCTTCATTCAGTGCGGCAATCACCAATGTACATCCCTAGCAATCCAAACAAACCAATCATATTCCTCATAACTACTCTGACAACCCCCAAATGAGCACAGTCACCCAAATGTATGAAATGTTGACAAAACAAAACAAAACAAAACAAAAAACAAAAAACAAAAAACAAAAAACAAAAAACAAAAAACAAAAAACAAAAAACAAAAAAAACAAAAAACAAAAAAACAAAAAACAAAAAACAAAAAACAAAAAACAAAAAAACAAAAAACAAAAAAACAAAAAACAAAAAACAAAAAACAAAAAACAAAAAACAAAAAACAAAAAACAAAAAACAAAAAACAAAAAAACAAAAAACAAAAAACAAAAAACAAAAAACAAAAAACAAAAAACAAAAAACAAAAAGTGGAATGAAATCCAACAGAATTCTAACACGACCGACCCGAAGAAGCAAAGCAAGACAAATATAAGTGCTGAAAAAACAGTGCTACTGTTTTTTGCTAAGTTATATGTAAATAATGACTGGCCGTGTATATATTGCAGGCCCAGGGATGTGACCAACTAAAGAAGATAATGGAGCAGAGTGAGTGACTTGATATAAGTAACCCAGACCCTTCACATTACAACCCTGGGTTTGACACACAATATACATACATTCAGATAGAAGGTGTTTGAAAATGAATATGGAACGTTCTACTTCACTGCACACTACTTAAATACAGCATACTTCTGTCTGAGACCTGTTGATGAGAGAGCTTTGTAAGTAAGCTGAAAGCTCGCTGTTCCAAATCTATGTAGCTTTCCATTATTTTGTATTTTTATCATACATAAACAACAACTCCATCCTCATACATATTTGAAAGAGAGATCATATTTACCTATATACAAGGTAGATCAGGTTGCACCAGATAATGATTCCTCCATTTTGTTTCTGCAGTCTTGAACCCAAATCCACATCTCTCCATCCAAACACAAACACACCCAATCCCCCATCCCCGCCGCCACCCTCATCGTATGCACCATTAACCATTCCAACCCAACCCAAAAAAAAAAGAGGCGAAGGATACATAAATATATATATATATACATGATGATCGTAACAGAGGCCGCCCGAAAGGATCCAACGAAGATGGACAACCATGTCCATCAGCCAAGAACACAGGAACGAAAGCATAAACAAGAAACGAAAAATGTATGTACGTGGAGAGACCTGATCCACCGGGCTCTCATGGGGCTCTTATTATTATGGTTATTAGTAGCAGTAGCAGTTGTGATCAGAGAGAGTGATTAAGATGAGTAGGTTTCCAATCCGGAGACGGAGCTGGGCCCCGACCAAGAATACGAGCCGAGCAAGGTGAGCACGAGAAAGCACGCGCCCGCTGCTTGCGATTCACGACTGAGTTTTTCCTTTCCTAGGTCTAAGAGTAGGTCCAGCAGCAGGAACAACAGCAGGAACAGCAGGAGCCTGAGAGGTCTTAGAAGAAGCAGGAAAACCACCGACGGAGGGAGCGGAGGAGCCGTGGAGGAGCAAGCCGGGGTGAGGGAAACGTAGCTGGGCCGTCGGCCGGCCGGCTTCGGGCCCGGCCCGGGCGCCGCGGCCTCGACGTCCCGTCGCTGTTCCCCCGACACTAGCCGCGTCTCCGCCGCCGCGTGTCCTTCGCGGTCGGCCATGGCTGACCGCTCCCGATTCCGTATTCGAATCCGCGGCACCAGACGCCGGAACGGGGGGCTGTTTCTTCGGCCGACCCGGGCGTCGTCGAACAACGGCGGGTGGATCGGGAACCCGAGACTGGCTTGTGGGGTCTGCTTGGATGGTCAGGGAGCTGGGAGTCGATGGATCGGCCTCGATCTTGTCCTGATCGCCTAGATTCTTCTTCGTCTCATCATCATCTTCATCGTCTGGTTGATCACCCATCTCTGTCCGATCTTCTTCATTCTCCTCTTTCCCTTCTTCTTGATCGTCACCCACTTCATTATCAAGATCATTCTGAGCCGAAGAGTTTGGACCCTCCGACCCATCCGAGTCGGACTCCAGATCCTCCGAGTCTTCTTCCGAGTCGGAAGAATCATCTGTCGTGATGGCCGAAGCGCGGGGCGACCCGATCCGCTTGATCCCATTGACCAACGACGCAAACCCGGTCCCGATCGAAGCTAACGGATTACTATTACCATTATTATTATTGAATGAAGAGTTTAACAGGAAGAGTTGTTTGACGTTTTGCAGGTTGGGGGCGAAGGTCGGAATCGAAGGAAAAGAAGAAGAAGAAGAAGGCACGGGTTCGGAGCGAGTTCGGAGGATATGAGTAGCCGAAACATGGTGAGGGTCCAAGGAATGGAGGGCGGGATCGGCGTCGGATGAGGGAGTTAAACGAAGCCCTTTCAGTCGACTTTCTACTTCGTCTAAGCGTCCGAAGTTCGCTGGCATCGAGCTTCGTCTGGTCGACTCGGTTGTGGTAGTAGTAGAATAAGAGGAAGGGAAGAGACGGGCGGCGAAAGCTTCGATGATCGAGCCACGACGTCGATTAAGAGCCTCAGGTTTCTTGGGCGCTTGATCTTGATCTTGTTCTTCTAATGATAAAGATGTTGATGTTGACGGTGACTGTCCGATAGCTGCTGGAGAATGAGGATAACCTGATCCCATGAAGAGGGGGGAGAAAAAGAAGAGTAAAGTAAGAGAGGTCGAAGTAAGAACGAGACCGAGAAGACGTTAGTGAGAGGCTTTAACTTGATGATCGGGAAGAGTGAGGATAACTTGAAGTCTAAGAGGCGGATGAGATGATAGTCATGCCCAGAAAAGAAAGAGATCAAGGGGGCAGGACAGAATAGAGGGAGGAATAAGTAAGGATGATTGGACAAGGATCGATAGCGGTACCTGAATGAGATGGAGAAGACGAAGCCGAGGGAGGATTGATGGACAAGCCACTAAGGTCGACCGAAGCAATCGACGACTGAGCCTCTGCGGCTCTCAATCTCTTCAACACATCTTCCTCCGCCTCCTCCGATTGCGAGTCCTCCAGCTCCTCTTCTTCTTGGACCATCATCATCGTTGTCGTCGTCGTTAGTGGTTGAGTAGAAATCGAGGTTGCAGGGATGGCCAATCGAGGAGATTGACGACGCGGTCGATTCGTGGTTGTGGACGGTAAGGTATTTCTTCTCTGTCCATTTCGTTTAGCCTATAGAAAAACAAAACAAAATTTCATCTTCATCCTCAAAAATCTCTCTTTTGATCTAGATCGATGGGGTATGAGGGTGGGGGGGGGGGGTCTCTTACGTTATCAGACGGAGGGTCTGGCTGTTCTTCCACAAGAACTTTAGCCCGTTTAGGCTGTCTAGAGAGAGGAAGTTCCTCAGGAAGTTGATCAAACTCGAGACAAAAGACGTCCCGATCGAACCGAACTTTACGTTTCTCATCACCCTGATTAAAGTACTCGTAATCCTCCTGTGTCTCTGACTGTAAGAGAAGTAAAGGGTCGGGACCACAGGTAGGTGCAGTCAAGGGGGTAAGACTTCCTCGACGTTTGATGAGGAAAGACCTGGGGGTACGAATGATCCGATGAGGGATGGTATTTGGTCGAGTGATATTGTCGGGTTGTTTGTTGGGTGGTGTGGGCTGTGCTTGTGGTGCTTGTGGTGGTGGTGGTGGTGGTAGTGGGGCAGAGCCAGTAGTTCTCACGCTACTACGGAGACGGTTGCGTAGAGTTTCAGGATTAGTGAATGGGTGAGGGTCGACGGGGAAACTAGGACTACGGCTATTGATTTGAGTATTGAGTCGGACGGAGGCCTGACGAGCGGAGTGGGAGGAAGTAGAGGGAGATGGGGTTGAGGGGTTTGAGTTTGGGGAAGTGGAGGCCGATGAGAAGGCGGCGAGTTCGTCGGCGGAATATGACTGTCTCCTGAAGCTACTCTTGAGCGGAAAGACGAGCGTTGCTGGTGGAGGTGGGGATGAAGGGGAGTGGCTCTGGAAGGCCGAGAGAAGCTTCGCGTTGGGCGACATCGAGCGACGATCGAGGACCGGTCGCGTGATTGTACTCGGCAGCGAGACGGGCTGGAGTCCATTTTTCGCGGGGCTGAGCGGACGTGGTTTGGATGAAAAGATCGCGTCTGAAGGGGCGGTAGGGTTGGATTGAGGAGGCTAATAAACAAAAAAGGAGCCCCAGATTAGATAAAATATTCATATTTGTACAAGAAGATCAGGAGACTTTACGCTATCTCTAGCAGGTGAGAGGTTGCAGTTGTCCATCCTGGTAGGATGGTCTTCATCACTACTGATATCATCAAGCTTATTGGTATCTTGAGCTAGGTCGTCGTCGGGAGAATCTGGGTCATCCTCCTGATCATCTTCGTCGTCCTCACTACTGCTGAAGCCTGAGGCGGCCAGTGAGTTGGGTTCGATTGGGTCGGATTGGTGGGCCAGATGGGTTTGGACGGCCTGTTTGATGAGTAGCTTTTGTAAGAGACTCTTCCTTCGTGGCTGAGGTTCTTCGAGTGAAGTGAGATCGAGGTTGATCGGTGATGAGGATGATGGACTGGTGGGTGAGAGAGGAGATTCTGATGGGAGTGGTGATTGATGGTGCTGTTGAGTGGTAGTAGTTGGGGGGGAGGTGTGATTTTTGAAGTTGAAGTGATGCTCTTCATCCTCACTTGAACTATCGTCGGTCGACTGAGTTCTGTTCTGGGATGCTGCTTTGATCGATCTGGGATGTGATCGTTTTCGGAATGAGACGTGACTAGAATCGAGTGAGGATTCTTGAGAGTGATTGGGTTCCCATTGGAATAAGAGCTCTTTACAGTTGGTCTTGGTGGGTGAGATGAGTAATTTGCATGGACTGTTTTTTGAATTTGAGCTCGGAGTGGCTGGTGGTGAGCTTGGTTCTGGTAGGATATCGAGTAGGAGGGTTTGGTTTGAAGTGCTGGATATGGCTGGTTGCTGGTCGAATCTTGACCAGTCGATGAGATGATCGTCCCAACGTTGTTCCCATCTGAATGGAAATTGGTTGATATAGAACGTGTCTCGATCGTTGAGTGGGATTAGTTCTGGGGATGGGTTCAGATGTTCCTGGTTGAGGGTGATTCCGGATGAGCCGACTACTTGGAGTGAAGCCTGTAATTAAGATGGGGATTAGTCAGTATGAATTTATCAAAGTTTTTGCTTGTGTAATGTAAACTGACCCTGTGAGTTTGAGTGTTGATGGTGATGATGAGGTGGATGGGTTGGATGTTGGTTTGGTCTTGCAAGCAGATCGTCGTGAGTTTGTTTGATGATCCGATGGTGGTCGTTTGGGTTTTGAGTGCGAGTCTTGCCTTGGGTGGTAGTAGTTGGTTGTTGTTGTGTTCTTCTTCTAGGATGAGTAGGTAGCCGAGTCCTTCTCCGTGGAGTTGCCAGTGTGCTGGTCGATGCTTGGGTTGTTCCATCCTGATTCCTTGGTGGTTGATTCTTGATGATTTGATTGAGAGTGGCAGTCAGTGGCCAAGAAGAGAAAGGGGGGATATGGCTATCCGACAGCCTCCCACTCGATCCGGGAAGCACTATCCGCAGATCACCTCATCAATCGATCACAGTCCAATTCATCATGAACACCTTCAGTAGCAGAAACAAACGAACAATCATCTGCACTACTTACACCAGCCTATAAATTGATAGCCTCCTAAATAATAGGGCAGTTCACGTTCAGCTGATGTTGACCATCAGCAGTCGAACCTTGTTAGCATTCCTATCTTAAGGTTTATGGGAAAGCAACAGAGTTTAGTGGGAGGCTCCCCTTTGGAGTTGAAATCCCACAATTAAAGTTCACAAAGTTTGTGCATCAGCAAACAAACCTTGTGCCACATCAGCAGCAGTTTTGGTGCAACGTGAACTGCCCTAATATGATTCCTCTGATCTCATACATATAGAGATCAAAACCCATCCATTTAGTCTACCACAAACTTGGATCTTCCAAACTCATTGGAGGACTTCCTGTTGAGACATATCTGTAGACCCTACAGAATCAGATTTAGCACCACTGTTGGACTCAGATTTCACAGAGAAAAATCGGATTCAAGGGCCTACAAATCTGGTTGTGTAGGGGCTCGACTTACCAATCAACCCATCCAGCCTCAGGGAAGTCCTCCATCATCACCAGGGAACAGAATTCATGGCTGCATCAATTCACATCACCAAATATCCCTACTCCAGATCAGAAGCTGAAGATAAGTACACACATTCCAAAAACGTGTTGCACAGTCCCTTGCCCAGAAAGGCCTGAACCCCTGCCCACTCAAATTCCACAGAGGGGTTCCATTATTTCTGTCAAGGGGCTGTACAGTGTCTAGACACAACAAAACCTTTTTTTGGATCAGGGTCTTGAAAAAAATGACACCCAAAAATTCAAAAAACAATGTTGCCCAGGACAGACAGTCAATTTTCCCAATCCTTTGCCATGGGGCATGTAGCCAAACCCACCCCTTTTGGAGGGCCAAGGGCGTGGGCAGAGGTGGGAGTTAGGGGGTATGTAACTTCCTGGTGTTGACACCAGCACAGTAAGTATTGTCCAATATAATAGATACACATTTTGTAAGCCAGATATTCAAATGCACAGGATAACCGGTGAATTTGCAGGATTGGAAGGGCCTTCCCTGGGGAGAATGCTACTTGCTGTACAAGTTATGTCTCACAATATTGTTTTTTTTGGCTTGGTGTGCCACCCAAGATCTTTGTCCTCTGCTTCATAAATTTGAACTGCTTTTGTTGAGAGATGTGATGTTGTTCTGATATCCAATGTTCATCAGGACACAGACCCAAATTTATTAAAAAAACCCTGGGTTTGGAAAGCTTAAAGACCACTCATGAATTGATTTTTTAAAGGCTGTCTGTGGTTAGGAATCACACTTTCCCAGTCAATTGTCAATCAGCATGTCTTGTCAATGTTGTTCTGGGTGTGTAGTAGTATTGATAGAGTTGACCATCCTGAATTTCTAAGCCCAGTGCTGGTTGGTGCTCATATGTTTCTATATTTATTTCACTGCTTGATGTAATTGGCTCAATCACTCTACTCACAGACCACTCACAGCCTTTAAAGACTCTGCAGGTCAAGTAACCACCACACATTGCTGGCATAGTTGGTTAATAGCCCTCTTCAAAAGCCCAATTGTGTTTCATCTGTGCTCAACAGTGTTCAGGCCCCCAGATCAAATCCAGTTGTCATCATGAACATACTTCCCATCACCTGTCTTGTTCTTATGTCTGCGACCATCATGCCCTCTGTGCTGGGACAAGCAAAGCCTGCCTGTCAAAACTGTCGGACATCAAACCCAACTACCAAGAGCCCAAGGTTCCTCAAGCCTGCAAATCCATCCACTGAATTTCGTCTCTGTGGATTGCTAAGTGAACCCCAGACAGTCTGTGGTGTACGATTAGTGGGAAATATGTATGACTGTAGTCAATGCAAATCCAAGGTCTGGTCTGCTATAAACAAATGTCCCAACTGCAAAAATTTCCCTCCAGATGAATACAAACATATGCCAAGAGCTCCATAAACAAGTGGTACTACTAGCACCAAAAAAAGGGGGGCAATGCATGTATGTCAATACATCCCCCAGGTGGGAATTTTTCTATTGTTTTTCATAATTTCAAAATTCAAGAAATCACCTTATTGCTGATTATCTAAAAATTTCTACGGCCCGTTTGAGCCCCCTCATGTTGTTACAAAGCCATATATATTGATTTTAAATTGAGGCAGGAATAGATATCAAGAATTTGATTTTTTAAATTTCAATGCGAGCTGTTTTTATGTTTCTCATACTAGTAGTATTTTAGAATTTTCTATGACACACTGATAGCCAGTTGATTAATGCAGCATCAGGAAAAAAACAATGATCACTTGGAAAAGTGACATCAGATGCTACTCATTGCATACCCAGATCAGCTCTGCCTCAGCCCCTGTAGCACACAAAGGGGCCATTGTATTTGGGTTGCAGCAGAGTTGGAGATAAAGAGGAGCAGTAATCAATGTTACATTAAGTCACCTTTGGTCAAGTGAGAATTTATTTTTTCTGTTCCAGGAAGACCTGCTGCTGCTGCTGCTGTTCTAAGTGAGAAGTGATTGTGGTGAAGATGTGGCTTCTGTTACTGTTACTGTTACTGTTAAAAATTATGGACTTTGTACTTGCTGATTGTTGGTGATATGGAAACTGGTTGGTATATTGATCATGTGCAGTGTCGGCCCTTGTTGAGGTTCCCATATTTTGTTAGCTTTGGCTGATCTCTTTTATTATTGCTTAAATATCACATTCTGTGATATTTTGTTCTATTCCATTTCTCTATTTAGACTATAGCAGCAACAGATGGATTGACTCTTTCCTCATCCTTCCATCACACTCCCTTGACTTGTTTTTTCTGCTCTGGGTATGCTTTCTTTCCCTCTTCCCTCTTCTGTCTTCTTTTTCCTTTTTCTCTCCTAGTTGAAATTAATACTTCCAACACACTCAGTTGATCTGTGTTTGCATCTCCAGTACATCTCAACAGCCCCCCTCTACAAACCTTGTGAATACAATTCATGTGGCCTTCTTGGACTCGGAGGGACTTGGGATATGTACTATGTGGTAAATCCAACTATACAGGTCAGTACTCACACCCTGGTCACACCCAGAATTTTAAGTATATCTGTGCAGCCTGACAAGTTACAACCACACCTTTCTGGCACAGTTTTCAGGGTTCAATTCACCACACCTCAAGAGGCCACTGTGTTTCATCCTTAGAAGACCTGCAGATCAATGTGGTACTCTAATACCTAGTACCTTTTACACATTATCATCACACGTTTTCTTGCAGTATTATTTCCTATCCATGATCTATGCTTTATTTTACCCCCAGTTACACCCTTATAGTGGAGTACTTCCTGTTGGATGTGTAACCCTTTCAGAAGTCAATTTAGACTCAAAAACCCTAGATTCTTGCAGCAAAATTTGGCTTTTGAGACTCTAGATTGGCTCTGGGGGACCCACAGATTGTGATGGATAGTCCTCCAGTATGTTATGTGAATGTAGAATTTTCCAAAATATTTTTCACAAGGCACAAGGCCTAAAGAGCATGTTAAATTGGGATGGGAAGTCCTCCAGTGAAGGGGGAAATGTTACATAATTTGACAAAGTGCTATCCAAATTCCCACCTTGTAATGTAAAACAGAACTTGTGAAATTCTACCTCAGTTTATCCATGAATAATTTTACTGGGCCTTTTTCACAAAATGCAACCTTGTAAAAAAGGTAGCTTGGAAAATTACGCTTTTGTTGCAAAGTGCTGAATTTTACAAGGTAAATTCTCAAATACTCTTGCACCCTGAAAAATCCACCCTGTAGAAATCATTGACCACCGCGAACATACCTCTCGTATAGGAACACCCACATAGGGTAGTGCTAGCTTAACAAAGCCCTTTGAACTTCGGGGCCAGGGCGAGCCTCCCACCAGGAAGAACTTGTGTTAACTTAGGGGTAGAGTGAGATGCGAACTTCCTTTGCCGCGCCGCAGATGGCCTTTTGCCAAGATGAGTGACTTTTATCAGTCTTGGTGGGCGGCAGGGTATTGACAAGGGTGATGAGGTAAAGGGTTGGTCATGGATGGCAGTGTTTGGTCAAAGACCCATTGACCTTTGAGTATATCTAGGGCTTCATTGATGGGAACATGGTACAAATTTTCCTCCTCTTGTAAGTTTCACAACCATGACCGGCTCGAATCCAACAGACACTCCAGGACAGTAAGCCGACCTTCTTTCTGGCGAGAAACTAGTATCTGCTTCTGATGGGATTATAAACGAATTTTCTGCTTGTGTTTATGTCTCTCATGTTCAACAGAAAATCTGCAAGTTTTATTGAAATCGAAGAAAAACTTCGAGAGGTCGAAGCCAGAATTATAGCCGATAGGTTCTTATGTTTCTTTAGCCAATCTTTCAAATACCAGGAAAAACACTCACACTTCTTTTCTCCTCGCCTATCCTCTTGAACTAAACTAGAAAACGAAGAGAAGAAGAATTGAAGACATTCGTCGAGCAAGCTCGGTAGATAGTTCCGTTCCTTTGTTAATTTAATTTCTTGGCTGATCAGATAAATGCCTGTTTCTCACCAGACGTGATGCTGAAGCCATCCGAAAGACGAAGTCTCAACAGAACCCCCCAAACCCCTCTGATACTACTGGTCCCCAACTGCAGAAACCGCTTGCATCGCCGCTGATTCCTAACATCTCCAGCTCTCCCCGTATCACTAGAGAACTCCCCGAAACGAGTCTATTCTTATTGAGGGATCTCTGGTCGCATGTTGGTTATTCCGGTGAATCATTTGTCGAGATGCAAATGGAAATCAGCCGTGAATTGGATCGAGCTGATTTCGCCAGGTTCGAGAGGGAAATGATCTGCAATGAAGTAATTGGTACCCGTGCCGAGGTTCGGAATGCATCAATTGATCAAGTGAATGCCTTTATTTCCAACTGAACGCGCCTTGTTTCTTTTTTAGATTAACATGTTGAGAGACGAACGCACTCAGCTTTTGAAGAGACTCGACCTGAATCGGGAAAACACCTGCCAATTGATAGAGACTCAAGAGCGGACATACAAGACCTTGATGTCGGAACGAGTCACGTCCGCGAATGTGATCCGAGGGCTCGAGAACGAAATTAGAGATCGGAATGCCGCAAACCAGGGTGCCCGGGACCGGATTGCCACCTTATCAAACGAGTTGGAGCGAGCTGAGCAAACGAGAATAGCGACAGTTTTGTGTGCCAAGGGGGCTGAAGATAGAGCCTCGGTCGCTAACGCTACTGCCCTGGCTGCAGTTCAAGTGGCCAATCAGCAAAGAGAACATGTCCCTCCGACCAACCCTACGACACCTTCGACCGCGCAGGGCAATGAAGCATTGAAAAACAAGTTGAAGGAGCAAATACTGGCGGTGGAGGAGGAGAAAATAGCATCGCAATTGGCCTCGGTCCAAGAAGAAAGAGAGAAATTGAAGAATCAAACAAAGGGGCCATCAAATGCAGCAGCCGAAAACAAATCACCACTGTTGTCCGCCATCTCTCAATTGGTCCATAATGGACTGTTCAATTGACTTGCCTTGAATTAAAATATAATGACTACTTTGAGCTTCCCCTCTCATAGGTGATTTGTTTTGAATTCTTCATTTTGACATTATATCATTTACACAAATCCTCTAGTCTTGCTAGTCCATCAATTGTCACTGTCAACCATTTGTTCAAAATTTAAATCCTGTTACGTTCTGCATCTCATTAAATTGAGTCTACATCATCAGAAAGGAAACTTCACAAAACACCAATTAGCAGAATAAATTTCTTTCTTTGACTGGCTTCCATTGAATTGGGATCTGTCTCTAAAGTATGGTTCAAAAATTGAATGATCTCCTTATTGATTGGAAACCTTGGTCTCTCTTCCAATCCCAGTGATCTGTAGAGAAATTCCATTTACAAATCTATGGTAGGAAAACTGCCAATGTAACATTTGGTGTATTGGAACAAAATAAGTGGCACAATTGAAATCATTTTGATTCATGCATTTAACTTTCATCTGAAGGTGATATGCTTTACTCAGTAAAATTAAAGGGAAAAAATGTGAGGAAGAACATCCAGAAGGTTTTATGTATGTGCATGGCAAACATAGTAGCTTGAGATCTGAAAATAACCATTTGACATTTTGACTCAAGATTTTAGAAGCACCAAAGTAAACCCATTCTTGAAAAGCAACAGGTGTTTTTAGATCCAATTTAAAAATCATTGTGGAGCACAGATATACAAGATCCTACCAGATGTTCCTAGAAGCAAAAGTATCCATAATTATGAAGTTTGTTTGAATGTAAGGGAAGGAATCCCCCCCTTGTTGATCATGAGATTCATGATTTATATTTCTTTCTGTAGAATTTAGTTGAAATCAAAGGAAGTTGAGGTTCAATTTGTGAGTGGCACTGCCTGGATCAATTGCTTGGATGAGCTGGTCCAATGAGTCCTCAGAGCAGCCTGTCTAATCAGTTCTCGGACTTGGCCGTCCAACAAGATGTTGGACTTGCCTGTTTGAGCGGTTCATATGCAGGAACATCTGCTTGGACAGGCAAGTCCAATCTCTTGTTGGATGGCCAAGTCCAAGAACTGCTTGGACAGGCTGGTCTGACAAGTCCTCGCACTGGCTTGTCCAAGCAATTATTTTAGGCAGTGTGGAAATATAGAATTAGCTCTCTGAATAGAAAATTTGGAAGCAATGCATCAGTGAGAACCACATCTGTATGTGAAGAAAGTCAATGTTCTGATAATTTGTTACACACAAAATCCAAGTGTTGGAAGTTTTTACAAAGAATTTGTGATTGATTTGATCCCTATTTTTAATTCAAACATAACTGTATAATTTGGTTGATTAAGAGAAATTTAACCTCCTCATTTCTAGCATCAATTTTGAAATTTTAGCACACTAAGGAACAGAATTAAGCTCTGTATACTGTTCTTCTAAATTTGATCTTTGTAGTTTTTCTAGGTTTATCATTAGGTTAATCTCTCTATCAAAATTCCAATTGTTGTATCTCATGGAATCTCCTATAAATTGATCACAGTGATAAATGCCAGATAAATTGTTGCAATCAATCCCCCAGTGTGAATTTGTATTTATTTAATATTAAGGGGAAAGCCTCGACATATCAATCCTAAGAATTTTGATGAAGTTAATTACTGTAGCACAAAGCATGTCAACCCCTCATAAAATTGTGTCCCAATATCTTGTCAGCAGTGATCAACCCCATTCTGGGGTCACAGCAGCACTTGCCAAAATTCAGCACTAGATATGTGAGCTTGAAAGCCATAATATTACTGCTGATTTTTCACCAACAAAGCATATATAAGATCATTGGAAGAGACATAAATTACCACATGGAAATCTGGTGTATTTGGTTTGTGGCTTGCTGAATGCCACTGAAGAACCAACTTGGCAATTTTGTGATCAAACTGTTTCTTTCTATCAATCATGTCTTGGCACAAATTTTTGAAATCTAACCTATAAATTGTGCCCCACTTCATTCAAGTTTGTGAGCTGATACATAATGGATTAAATCCATTTTTCAAGGTCTCATCTCTGATGGGTTATACAATTCTAATGTCTTGAGACCAGTCAAAAAAATGCATACATCCAGATAACTCGACTATTTACAACCAAAACTATGTGTTGAGCAAGTTCTTTCTTGAATACATCACTGTTTACTTCTCTTTATCGGGTGCACCGACCAAACCTAACAGCTACCCTGACCAACTGTTCCGTACAAAGGAAGCGGAAAAGACAAAATGGCCGATACAGATGACTTGCAGGCCAGCCTCTGATGATCCGAGCCTTGTGTCACAATTGGTCCTACTTATTTAGATCTTAAGGCTGACCGAATCAGGGGTGTACCTTCCATAAACCAGTTCTATTTTTCAACTGACACATGTATGGTCAACGTGAACAACCAATGTCTTACCTCGCAAGTGAAAGGAAGGCTTGCTTGATCCTCCATACCTTGAGACAGTTGGAGCCGAGGATTGGGGCCAACCAGGCGATTCTTAGGTACATTTTAATCTGGACTGTAGATGATAGATAGAGTCAGTTTTGTCTAGGGGTGCAAAAACCAAGTATTGTTTGTTATCGTGCAAAAGGCTTCGGTCGCTCGACTGATGTCTGCTACATAGACTATCAGACCACATTTATACGGCATCAGCTTATTACAATAGAAACAGTCCGACATCATTTTTCTTGGAGGGGAGAATTGGTTGGGCATCGTGAGATGTTGCAGGACGGTGTCTCCAATCGCTGGTTAAGAACCAGGCCAGGACGACAGATTTTGCCTAGCAAGCCGGGCCTTGATAGTCCAAGCATCAGTGCCTACCGATGTGTATGATATTGGGAGCTAGGGCAAGTTAGTCCTAACCGATTCCGCCCAACAATAACTAATTTCAGAGGGTAGTACAAAAGGAAGGTGAAAAAAAAGTAGTTTGGCCCACCGGAGGGTTATACACTGAGTAGGCTTGAGTAGAATGCGACAAACTCCCCTGTTCGTAAGCTAACCTAGTCAATACCGGCTCGGGCTTGGTCATGTAAGCAATGCCCTCGGCGACTTTTTTTGCGCTTGGTTGGGCCTATAAAAGACCGCCCTCTCCTCCCATCTGTCCCCCCATCAGCTCGCACTTTCTCCCACCCAACAATTTCCTTTCACTCTCTCCTTCGGCTCAGATTCCCATATCGTGCATCTTCTGCCTGCTTGCTGGCTCCAGAGTCTTCTTATCTCCCCATTCCAGGTGACTAGTCCACCCGTCGTTGATGCCAACAAGACCAAGGCCCTCTCCCATCCAATCTTTTGTCGCCAGGAGATTGAGTCCTTCTTTCGTTCATTCATATCAGAACGCTCCCACTTTTACTCCACCTGATGTTGGTGCTACCCATTATATATCTGGGGGACTTCTACTTACCGGATTGATCAGCCTTATCTGAGGAACATTCTTCCTCGTCATGAATGGGCCATTCTTTAAACTCACCATCCCCTCCAGTTGACATACGCTACCCGAGCAACGTTCTTTCTCAATCCTGAATCGGCCATTCTTTCACCTCACCATCCCCTCCATTTGATATACGCTATCCGAGATATGGTGATGCTGTATAGTTGATTGTCCGTGACCACTTCGGTGTAGCTGATTGGCGTGGCTTGCATCTCAAGCATCGTGATTGATCCCATCATCAATCCTTCACCCCGTTCCGTTTTTCAGTCTTCATGCTCTTCACCATCCGTCAAGCTGATCATTGATTCAGAGGCATGCGACTGCGTTGCTTCCAAACCCTCACCCTCATATTGGGAGATGTATCTTTCAGGCTAGGTGTTGAAGATTCATAGGTCGGACCGTAGGTTCAACAATCTCTTATCCGATGGCAGCAGCTCTATCATGACAAGCTTCCAAACACCCAAGCATGATCTCTCTGCTCAATGGGCTCTTGGTTGATCCCGGAGTTGGTTATATTTGGGTTTATCCAACAAAACATGCAGCAACGCTTGGTTCTTTTCTCTATCTTATTCTGCCACTTCATCGGCATCTCATGTGAAGCTCAGGAAAGCGGTTGATATCTGCGCAAATCTTGACTTCCTGAGGTAGTGGATGCCTTCGTGGTGACAAGCAGGTCGCTATACCAGCCAGTAACTCAGCGCGTCGGACGTCATGTGTGAGCTAGAAGCACCTTATTTCTTCGCTCACTCACGCAGGACTGACTTCAAAATCTTTTCAACACCTCAGTCCCGCAGCGAAGCAGCTTTATATTAGCAAAGCATCATCATTTTATCAAAGCATCATCATTTTCCCGGGATCCAACAACCTCAAGCAGCCTATCCTCTCCGCCTGCGCTCTTCATTCCCAAGAAGAACTGACAAGCTGACCTCAAGATCGATTTACCGGGTTTTAACACCTTCAAGCAACTTGGACCATCTCTCATCCCTGGTGGAGTTTATGACCGACGTAATCTCTTTTCACTCTTTTCTTTTAAATTCAACGTGTACCCTCCTCTGACTTCGTCCGTCTTTTTCTTCATCGGTTTCATCTACAATGACCGAACACCTAGAGCCAAGCACATCTCGCAATGATAGACGATTTTCTTCGGCACTCATTAGTGCATCAGGAAAAGAGGCTTGATCGGCCAATTCCTTTTTCGATTACCCCACTCAATTTTGATTGATGTGGCAAGCAGGACCACGAACACCGATCCATAGCTCACAAGAGCTGTATTTGGATTCGACTGACCGAAGGACTTTATCCTTCGATGTCATCTATTGATGCATACGACGCGAATACGACAATCCGGTTTGATTTCCCTCGCTCTATCATGAGATTAGGAAACCTCAGCCGATCCATAGCGAATAAATCCTGATTGGATTCGACCACATGATCCCGAATCGGATGCACAGTTGATGCACATGGAGCCCGTGCCGATCCATAGCCAGCGAGAGCTCTTTGGATTCGACTACCCGAAGGATAACATCCTACTCGATGATTCGACCTTTATCCCCATGGATAAGGAAATCCGAGCCAATCCATAGCAAACAACTGCCAATCGGATTCGACCACACGATTTCGAATCCGATGCACAATTGATGCATGAGGAGCCCGCGCCGATCCATAGCCTGAGCGAGCAAGAGCTCTTTGGATTCGACTCTCCGAAGGATAAAGTCCTTTGATGCCGAGCCAATCCAAAGCCATCAAGAGCTGTTTGGCCTCGACAATCCCTTTATCCTCATGGATAAGGAAGCCCCCACCGAACCATAGCACACAGATGCTGATTGGATTCGACCAGAAGATCCCGAATCCGATGCACAAATGATGCATATGGAGCCCGTGCCGATCCATGACCAGCAACAGCTGATTGGAATTTCCGAAGGATACCATCCTTTGATGCCGAGCCGATCCATATCCAGCAAGAGCTGATTGGATTCGACGACTCGAAGAAAATCATCCCTAGTCGATGGATAGATCCATTTTTTTCGATGATGTACCCCACTCAATTTCGATTGATGTGGCAAGCAGGACCACACAACCCGATCCATAGCCAACAAGAGCTATATGGAATCCGACTTCCCGAAGGATTTCATCCTTGAAGTCGACAGTTACGACCCAAGCCGATCCATAGCAAGCAAGAGCTAGAAGGATAACTCCCTTCGATCGATGCAATCAGTTGATGCATATGGAGTGCGAACCGATCCATAGCCATCAAGAGCTGCTTGGATACGACAACCGATGCCATCTTTTGATGCAAACCGAGTCGGGCCACAGCTCTCATGAAGAGCTGATTGGACTCGACAATCCCCGACACCGTTGAGACTTTTCTTTTCTTTTTTTTTCGAATTTATATCCTCATGGATATAACACCATCATCCTCTCGGAATGATCGCACTGGTCAAGATTGGGGATAAGTACCAAATCTCGAATAACGGAGTGTTTGATCTCCGTACACGGTTGAAGAGCGAAGATATTTCCTTCTTTCATAAGGAAAACATTCTTTTTTCCCTTGACGTTCGATTATTTTTATAAATCTTTTGTTCTTTTGTTCGGTTTGTCTTGTTTGTTGTTTTCACTGAATCCCGCTATGTAATTGGGGATTTCAGACCAGGGGTTTGTAGCTGGGGGGGATCGAGTGGGTTTGAGGGGCAAGAGGAGAGTATATTCTCGAGTTACCTTGTTTCCCCAAGTCGGAACAAACCTTGACTCGACCCCCGGCCCCTCTTGTCCTCAGGATTGAGGATCTGCGCCGACGCGGAACGATCCTCGGGAGTGCGAGTCTCCGAAAGCGGCTCGCTTCGCGGGAGGCTTGCACTCACGAGGGGCGTCTCCGCCTCGGCACAAACCTTCCATCCGGAGGATAACAGGGGCTGGGGGTCGAGTTAAAAGGGGGTTGGACCGCTCTATGTATTTATTTATCTTGTATTCCTAATTTGAACATCTTTGTTGAACTAAATTGTAAAAAATTCTTGCTAAATAAAACTGAAACAAAAAATCAGTCCAAATGAATTTTTGAGCGGACCAACGAAAGAAAGAGCCACATGCGACCAGTGTCCGAACACTCCCTCACATACAAGCCAGCCATCCTTGCATTTTCATAAGCGTTCCACCGAAAGACCGCGGTATCCTTATCAATGCACGACTGTCTTCTGCAAGAAACAAATCTAAGGCCCCCCAAAAAAGAAACACACGTAAACGATGGATGAAGAGACTTGACAAGTGCGATTTGAAAAGGGGTGTGAATTCCAGAAAGAGTATATAGACATATGTAGAAGATGGGTATGAATGTGTAAATGAACATATGAGAGAGACACATAACGGATGCTATAAGAGGCAAGAGATAATGCTTTCAATACGCATCATTAATCCATTCAAGCCTTGACAACGACCTCTCTCTTATCCTACCACTCGATTCAATCTGATGTTCAAAAGCCAACAATGCAGTGACAGGATACGACAGAGAAAGGGGGAAAAAAAGTGCAGCAACCAACGAAAACGAATATATTATTTCTTAAGAGCTCGAGCCTTAGGCCCCCAATTCGGAGTCGGATTAGCCTGATAACGGACGATTTTGAGGCCAGTCAAGAGCAGTTTCTCGACCGATTTATTATATTTGAGGTCGACTTGATACCTATGAATTTTGAATAACCAATAACAAAGATAAGTCCCACCAACCCCAACGGGGATGAAAAGAAAACACAACTCAGATGGAATTGTGACTTGCCTCATAGGTTTGGACAATAAGCTCATCAGCCGAGGGTTGCTCGAGTTCTTGGCCCCATGGACTCGACATGCTTCCGATATCTCTGCCGCTGGTTCTCCAGCTCCTCCGCTCTTCTGTCCTTCTTTGACTTTCTCGGCCTTGAGGCCTCCCTCGTCTTCTGCTTGTCCATTTTTAACTTCTCCCTCTTTCACTTCCCCACTTTTGACTTCCCCATCTTGAACGCCTCCATCTTTAACTTCCCCATTTCTTACGTCTCCATTCTTAACCTCCCCATCCAGACTTTCGTCGACTCTAGGAGCATTCCCACCATCAACAGCAGCGGGCTGATCACCAGCACCAAGATCCTTGGTAGACTTAGGTACAGGCGCGGCCTGAGCATTGATCCAGGCCTTCATGAGATCATAGATGAACGCCCTAGGGGCGTCAGTCTTGATCGAGCCGGGCTGACAATGGGACCTGGAGAGCGAGAAGCCGGCGTTGAGGATAGCCGAGCCGACGGTCAGGAGGGAGGGCGAGGAGCATTTGAAGAGCCCCGAGAGCTTGGCCGGGGTGAAGAAGAACGGGGCCTCGGGAAGCTCCTACCCACACACATGAGAAGAACTACCAAAATGAGCAAAAAAAACATAATGACGAGGGGAGGGGGCGGATCAAAAGGAAGACTGACCGTCTTGGCCAGGCCGACCATTCCGCGGATCCGTTCTGCGGTCTTCAAGGGCTGCTGTTGCTGCTCATCATCAGCAGCCTCGAGACCCTCCAAGAGTCTGTCACAGAACGCCGGGTCGTGCAGGGGACCGCTCCACAGCGGCCCGGCCACATGGAACGTGCCCCCACACTCCTCGCAGCTGGCGCCGGGCATCGGAGGGCCATGTGCGTTCTGGTACGAGACGTTGGCCCCGTTACCTGCCTTCGTCGGCTTACTGTTCATCCTCCCCAGAGGCTGGAAATGGAACGCCGCACAGCCCGAACAGACGTACACTAGCGCCGTGTTTCTGTAGCCCCTCCCAAACATTAGATGAGGGACCAGAAGAACCACAGAGCTAATCATCCTCAGAAAAATAACTCACGTGATCCATTTCTTCACTTCCGCTGGCGAATGATTCACCCGGACGAAGATCCGGACGTAGAAGTCGATCGACAACGACAATAAAGGCGTGATCTGTTTCCCGTATCTTGCCGCTGAACTAGCCAAGCTATGTATCACTTGACGGAGCGCATACTCGTGCGAATATTCCGCACGCATCGAACTCCCTCCATAGTTGGAGAAACTGTTAAATCGCATCAAGTCGTCCCCCAAAAATCAACACCACAAGTCATGAGTCTTTTTTTTTTGAAAGAAATTGAAGGGGTGTTGAAACGGACCATTTTTCGGGATAGGCGCTTCCGGCTAAAACAGCCAGATCGGTACAGGTGACACACAACAGGCCTAGATAATTCTCCCATCAACACACAGTGGGAGATTACTCTGGGACAACAAGTTCCGATTCTCACCTCCATTGCGGACGCATTGTACGGCAGCATCAATGAACGGGGCAGCAGTTCCATACGGGTCGAGGTCGACGACATCGAACTGCCGATCGGGGGCCCGATGAGAATACATCAGATCACTACACAATCTCTCTCTGAAATTATCAGCAAACTGACAAAGAGAGAGAGAGAGAGTTACTCAGAAGACTACTGACCAGGCGTCTCCTTGGTTGACACGGACTTTTGCTTGCTCGGTAGATGGGTCTTTAGGATCTAGGCCGTTGTGGGTGATGTTCGCTTTGATCAAGTTGACTGCCGAGAGCGATAGATCGTTGGCAATGATTGATCTAACAGATCATCATAACAACCGTAAAAAAGAGACACAACTTGCGAAATATCAACATATAATCAACATCCATCATCCTCCATTTTTCTTTCCTTTCTCTTTCCGGGGAAATAAAGGGGGATGATGAAAGAGAGACGAACTTGAGGGTAGGGATCTCCTTAGCATATCTGATGGCGCGCAGGCCGGTAGCCGACAAGGCTTCGAGTGCCGTGAACTTTTGGGGCTGAGTTTCTTTCTTAGGATTCCGGTCGACTTGAGGCTCCAGAGGCTGTCCAGCCTGATCGACAGATTCCTTTGAGATCGTGGATGTTGGGTCTTCTTGAATCGTTGGATTGGACTGATGATCTGAGCCTGATGACTGTTTGAGTTTCTTAGATTGGTGATGATGGTCGGTAGTCCCATTCTCGGGTGAAGGGTCAACTGCTCGTTTATTGTTACTGTTCTTCTTTCTTTGATTTTTTGAGCTGTTGTTTGATTTTTTCTCTAGTAGTTCCTGATTTCTGATCGAGCTCCATGCTTTGATAGCTGAGATTGACAGGTCTCGATTGTATTCCTGTACTGGGTTGATGAATGCTTCTGATGGTTGTTGTTCTTGTTTCTCTAGTTTGATCAAGATTTGAGTTGAAGCTTCCTGGTGTGCTTGATAGCCTGGTGGTGGTTCTGGGAAGTTGCTCATGAGTCTTCTGGCTTGGTGGTTGTGGTGTTGGTTGAGGGTGATACTGATGAGTAGTCTTCTTCTGATGTGGTTCATCTGAGAAAAATCGAAAAAAAAAAAAAAACTTCATCTGCTGTGGAAATAGTTCCTCGATCGAGGCGTGGTTGATGCTTAGCTAAGCAATCCAGCTGTAACACTCCTCAGCTGGACAAACACAGACCTCATGGAGATACTGGGCCAGGATTATAAACCAGTTCATCCCAATCACATAAACTTGGAGAACCTTCCTAAAATTGATGGCTTATATAGAATCTGAACATAAAGACTCTTTCTCAAATGGTTCAATTGAATCCTCCAATTGTTGATCATAGACTTGGATATAATTGTGATTGTTTTTGTTTTTATTGGCATTTTAGTTTGTATTAGTGGGGTTCACCATTACAATCTACCAGCATACCCTTAAGTAACCAACAGAAGCCTTGAAATATCTTACAAAGAATACTTCTACACCTCCCATCAAGAAGGAACAACTTCACAGAGCTTCATGATTACCTTACTGGATCAAGCAGCAAACACTTTAGCAAACCATATGGTGTTGCAGATAGGCTTGCAACACCCCAAAGTTCAGCCACAAAAGGGCAAGCACACTGGGCCAATCCCAAAGCCTGCTTGGCCAATCCTAAAGTGCATGTGACACCCTCCCAACCCCCGCTTGACACATGCCAAAGTTGGTGGGGGTTGAGACAAAGCTTCTCTTGGCCAACATCAAGTGAGGGTGCCACACCCACCAAAAATCAATGCACCCCTTAGCTCAAGGGGTGCATTGACCATGCAATTTTCTCATCTCTCTCTTCACACATCAATTGGGAGGGGGGGGGGGGGGGGGTACATAGGTTAATACTTTGCTAGCTCTAACTTAATGAAGTCCCTCTTATTCGGAGGGGGGACGCTGTCCCGCAGGGACCCTCCGAAGGAGGGACTTATGCGCGAAGTGCCAACCCGTGCCCAAGGTAATTAGCATAAATTGCCTTTCTCCACCAATCTCGCCATAACTCTTTCGTTTTAAGTCTTGATAAAAAAAGTTTGCAGAGTAAAATGTGCGCTGGCATCTGATGTCTCTACTCATGCGCTCCATTTTTTCCTATCCGTGCTTGTCTTTTGTGAATCATCGATTCTATCGTTTTGAAAATCTGGAAAAATATATGTTCTTTGTATACAGTATTTGTGGCAACAAAGCCCATCCAATACAGGAAATACAAACAAGCTGTACTCACCAGGTTTGAATAAACCCATAGGTTTTGGGAAGTCAAAGCCATGAGGCCAAACATTCCCATAGACCGGCTCCCTGGTTTTTGGAGCGCTCGCCGCTGAGCCATCTTGATTGTTTGTTAGTCCAAGTGATTGATGAGCAGTCGTTAGTCCGAGTGATCGATGAGCAGTCTGACTAGCATGTCCTGGTTTCAACAGCCGGTCTAATACATATTGCCATTAAAAGTCATGGCTGTTTTTAAACAAGTCAAAACTTGGGTTCAGCATACTATGGCTGAACCCGAGAATTGACAACAGTATTCGCATCCTTGCACTGTATCTCAGGTGTACACGGAATTTGTGATACAGGATTCTTGATTTGCGCAAAAAATCAACGACTCTCACATTGCGAAATAAGAAATGACATTCATGAAAATGTCACATCTGGCCAGGTGGGGTGATAGAGAAAAAATCAGCGGTCATTTCTATCAAGGCAGAATTTTGATAGCATGTTTCAGGAAAAGCACAGAGGAGATTGAAAAATTTTGTCTACTAATTTTCCAATCACCTTGGGCACGCGTTGGCACTTCGCGCATAAGTCCCTCCTTCGGAGGGTCCCTGCGGGACAGCGTCCCCCCTGGGAATACAGAGGGACTTCATTAAGTTAGTTGCTAGCTACTCTTTGAGGGGGTAGGATACACATTGCTAGCTACTCTTGTATCTAGTTTCACCTTTTGTTATTTTACCCAGTATTGTAATGAGTTGTGTCAAGTTGGTGTTGGAGTTGGAGTTGATGACTGATGATCCTCTTGGCCAAGATGTTGAAATGGGACCAGCGGGACTTGGCTAAGTGCCAAGTCCAGCCCCCTCCCATTCCAACTTGCATGATCAAGCCCGTGGGCACATTCCAAACCCCAGGTGGCACTTGGCCAAGAGGGACTTTGGTTTGTACCCAGATGTGCTTGCTGAAGTGGTTTGCCTTGATTTTTAGAGTTTAAATTTCCAAGCTAGAATTTACAACTCAGCAAGAGTTCTAAGTGAGGTGAGCATGCATAAATCCAATCATGAACTGTGCTATTGTCATTTCTCATAAACCCATTTATCCCAAACCAAATTGTTAAAAACACACTTGCTACAAGCAAAATGCAACATCCAAGCTGTATACAAGCAAGAATTACTTTTGGAACAAAAAGCATCCAAAAGCTCAATCACAAACCCTGCTTTTATTGTGATTTTTATTATATTATTACATAAGACCAGGGTTTGTGATTGAAATTTATCAAATTTTACAGCCCATTTTAAGGTGTTTCTTAACAATTTTTTCAAAATTTAAAAGGTTTTGTGGATTGATCAGTCTAAAAAATTATTTTTTGAAGCTTGAACCCCATTCATGATTTCAAAAGACAAACAGAAGTCAAAGGAAGAATCAGATTACTAAGACCGGGAGGTAAAACTACTTTACCTCCCACACTCAAGAAAAGTGCCCTACAAAATAAAAACATAGAGATACTAAAAGTTTGAATCCATCACAAAGGGTTACAGGTGCATAGATATCAATTTTGAGGAGTGTCAGTACAAAGACTAATTTTCTACACTTCCAAACCACATCAGTGTGGGTGTAACTGGTGGAGTAGCAGAGTAGCTACTGCCAGATTAGTGCTATTTCAGGGTTTCAATCACATTGGTGTGCATGTGTTTCAAGTGCACAGTTTGGATCTTAATCCCAGGATTAGCAAGGAATAACTTTACTCCTTGAGTTTAGTTGCTGTTCAGGGCTTGGACTAGCTTAGAGTAGTTACACTAATCCAGCCTTAAACCAGCAACCAATGTACAGTGGGTGGACCGTTATTTTTGGCTGCTTGTTTTGGATTCCAGAGCTTCAAAGCACAAACATGAAGTCACAAGAATTGGTGAAGCGGTGCAGAATAGGTCCCAAAGAATGAATATGAAGAAATAAAAACAAAAAACAAAGTTTCAAAATCTGTGAAAAATATATTTTTTTTCCCAAAAGCTTTGATATTCATTTTGGGGGAGCGGGAGCGCTGGAAGAAAGAAAGAATGGAAAATGGGAAGAATGATTATAAATGAAAATTTTAAAAAAATGGTTTCCAGTTAGTTTTAAACAGATTTTGAGTAGGGCATTCACCAGCTCACATTTTAGGGAAGCACTAGAATTTACTGTTTTGGATCCAATCTGGACAGCCAACCTGGCTCACCCTTTTTTGGTTCAATTTATTTTTTCCATTTATAATCATTCTTGCCATGTTCCACTCTTTCTTTCTCTCAGCACTCCCACCCCAAAATCAACAACAAAGCTTTTGGAAAAACCCCTTTTTATTTAGTCATCCATGTGAGTGGGAGTACACCTCCCACTGATGATAAACACCCCCATCAAGGACTGGTTTCAAAAAGTCCTTGATGGGAGTAAGCCTCTCATTGATGACTGGTCATCAATGGGAGATGTACTCCCATTGAGGACACACTCCCACTAAGGACCAGTTTTAACTGGTTCTTGATGGGAGTAAACACCCCCATCAATTACCAGTCAAAACCGGTCATTTGATGGGAGGACACACTCCCATCAAGGACCAGTTTTAACTGGTCCTTGATGGGAGTAAACACCCCCATCAATGACTGGTCAAAACCAGTCATTCAATGGGAGGACACACTCTCAGGTTGCAAACGGTTCGGGTTCGGGTCAAAAATCAGCTCTGGAACCCGACTCAACACTTACATCGGGTTGGTGCGGGTTGGGTTGAACTCTCAAAAATGTTGCCCAAACCCAACTCTAATAGATAAAAGTTGGGTTTGGGTTGGGTTGGCCCGACATTTTTCCCTGGAGAGGCAAAAAATGGCAGATCCACTATGTATTTCCTTTTAAAAATCCTCTACTTAATCTTGTATATATCTTTCTGCTGTATGTATGTAGTCTGTACTTATAATAGTAAAATAATGAAAAAAGTATAAAAAATAATGAATATTAAAGGGCCTTAATAAAAAAAACGTGGTTTTTCCGCGTTTTGACGCGGTTTTGCAGATGCAGATTTCGTGTTTTGACACGGTTTTTTATTTAATTTTTTACCGCTTATTTTTCAAGTTTTTTTTAATTTTTAAAATGTTTCCTATGTTTCAAAGTGTGTAGAATTTAATGGTAAAACCTGTTGAGTTTTCAGTAATGTCGTGAACCTGTCACGTTAAATTCCCTGCCTTTCAGTTATGGACTGCAGATTCATTGAGAACTCCGAACCGCTTAGGTCAAAACAGTCTAGTCAGAAATCCTCAATCGCTACCAATTGCCCTTCAATCAGCAAGTCTCCGAGCAACCAAACCGGCTCAACTACACCCTCAATCGCTCTCTCTTCCAATCTACTGATTCAAATGCTTGATAATCATCAACCGTCAAGATTCACCTCCAGGATAAAACTCGTAAAGTAAAACTTGACTCAGTGACTCAGATCAATCGACCGGATCCTAACCCTTTCTCTTTCTCCATCCTGACTTATTTTTTTCCTCTCTCTTCTGTTGTTTAGTCTGTGTTTCCCAATTTTTTTATCTTCTTAAAAAGCACCTTCTGTGTCAAGTCTGAACACACTTCTTAGTTGCTGTTTTTTCCTTCTTTCTTTCTTCTTTCCTTCTTGTTGTTTGATGTCAAAAGGACTAACTTTGCCTCAAATCTTTTCTTCTTCTGTATTAGTCTTCTTCCTACATAAAAAAGATATCCTCTTGTCTCTTGGAATAGTCCTCATTACACTCTGCCTGTCTTAGATTCTCCATATGCTTCTTCCTCTTTTCTGTTTCTGCTTATGTGGTTCTTTTCAGTTTCTAATTTTTTTCTTTTTTCTTTCTCA